GAATAGATCATTGTTACTGATGGACATTGACATGGGAGAGGCAGATCTGATAGACCATACAGGGACTTGTAAATTGCATTAAAGATCTTGAACTTTCCACTGAGGACAATTAACAGGCCATTGGAAAGTTTCCGTCAGGAGACAACATGATCTGACTTTTTTTGTTTAATGTAATTTTTCTGTAAGTAAGGGAACACTTTACAATAGCAGTCGTTTAAATTCCCTCTAAGTTATAATTGGCTAACGGAGACAATTTCTCTGAATAAGGCTTGGATGAGGGTGGGGCGGAGGGTCCGTGAGGGGAATAAACGGCAGGAACAGAAAAGGGGAAAGAACTTAGAAGCTCTTCTGCTTTGCGGTTGTGACTAAGATGGGTCCTGAAGCAGCAGGAATGGGTGCTCAGCTCAACTGCTTCTTCTCTCACGGCCATCCTCCTCCTTAGACGGGGGCCCTGGGGCTCGAGCGGTGCCCGTTTGATGGCTTTGCTCCTCTGTATGATCTCAGCTACAGAGTTAATTCACTTTCCCAGCGTCACCATCACCTTTCTGAGAACGATTCCCAAATCTGTACGTCCTCCTTGCAAAGATGTTTAGTAACTTTGCGCTATTGCCCCGGGCTTATACATCATGGTAAAGACAATTGCACACGCGTAACTATTTCGTGTCGCGATGTGTATAGTTCATTAATGACTGAAAAATGACACAGCTCCAGCCCTGACTGACGGCTCCCCTGAGGGTAAGTCCCAAGTTGCTTAATGTCTCTGGACAGCTGACCTTGGAATGTCATTGTAACCACAAATTGCCTGTCTGCAACTCACCATCTCTCTCCCAAACCAACTTCCCTTGGACCTTTCCTGCCTTTGTCAGTAACGTCAGCGTTTGCCAGTTCCGTGTTTTGCAGACATCCTCGACTCCTCTGTCTTCAGCTGGCCCCACTTCCAAGGATTAAGATTGCTCCTATTCGCTCAGCAGGAGTCCCTAGGTGGTGCAGATGGTAAAGTGCTCGACCACTAACTGAAAGGTTGGCTATTTGAACGCACCCAGAAGTGCCTCGGAAGAAAGGCCTGGCAATCTGCTTCTAAACGATCAGTCTTGAAAGCCCTATGGAGCACAGTTCTACTCTGCAACATACGGGGGTGCCATGAGTCAGAATCGACTGATGGGAACTGGTTTGGTTTGGTTATTCACTTGGTGGAACGCTCATGCAATGTATTCCTCCCGTCCATTGCTCATTTTTATCCTAATCCTTCTTACCTCTTGGTGAAATTCTCCCATCATATCACAGCCTGTTCTCTGAAATCCAGGTTTCTTTCCTGGTACACCCTCAAGAGCATAGGTGGCTATGATACCCTTCATCAAGCCTGTTTTATTTAGCAAAGGATTTTGCATAATAAATATTTTTCTTTTGCAGTGGAACTTTTTTTTTTTTAAGAATTACATAGAACTCTACTACAGAAGAGATGATCATGAAGCTCTCTTGTTAAAGGTGGGCTGGAAGGAGCACAATCCCCTTGACCTGCCCTCAACTTCTGAAGTAGCCTTCTTGGAACTCAAGAGGCCCACTGAGACAGTTTTAAAACACAGATGTACAGAATACCCTTCAACGCCTTGGAATGCTATGTACACTTTCTTCACAATCTTTTTTTTTAAAATTAGTTTTTTTAATCTATGCAAATCTTCCAACTTAGTCACACAAGTTCACGTGAAGCTCTTAAACACACACTGCTCATTCCCTCACCCCTGTATGGGGTGAAGGTATCCCCCTGCTTGAATGCCTGGAACATCATCTGTGCATCTCTGCCCATCTAAATTCTCCTTTGCTCATCTCCCGTCCCACCTCTTCTTGAGGAGCTTCTGTGTCGTCCCAGCTCAGAGATTTCTCTTCAGATTCCTGCAGTATTTCTGCTTACTTACCACTGTTCTTATATTCATCCCTCCCACTTGATAATAGGCTACTTAAAGGAAGGATCAAGTCTTTTACCACTTTCTATCCTCAGCATCTAGATAATATGCTGCCTATAGTATTCACTTAGTATATTTTGATGATAACCCGCACCAAGAAATAATACCTATGGTCCCATTGATCTCACGTTCATTGACAGAAGTCAAGGTTAAATACCGTGTCTTTGGAAACGTTCCTTCAGAACGATGCTTCTAAGACAGGAAAGCCAGTCAGTGTGACCTTAATTGCAAGCATTGTTTTTTCTCCAACCACCATTAAAACACTACTACCTCCTTTGGCTGTCTTTCATTAAATTATGCTGGAAGTAGACTTAGGAAATGACAACAGGTAGTTGCAAATGGGGATTTCTTGGGCTAGAAAGAGAAGTAGCGGTCTAGACTAGCCTAATCTTTCAGCAAAAATCATGTACCAAAGATTACAAGAAACTTACATTAAAATACAAATCAAATTGCACCACTTCCCTTTTAAAACCTAATGTTTCAAGAATAGACTTCAAAGCCCTTAGCCTGTTTCACATGGCTCTGTATGGCCTGGTCCCTCTCCACCTTCCCCTTGTCATCTCTACAACCCATCCCCTCACTCACCACACCCTGGCCACGATAGCAAGCTCTCACTTCCCTGAATTGCCAAGTCCTTCTCTCTCCTTGACTTCATGCTATTAGCTCTCTCTGCCAGGATGCCCTTCCCACACTTGTTTCCTTGATCAGCTCCTGTGGTCCTTTGAGTCTCAGTCTGTTTGTCATTTCCTCTGAATTCTTCTCTGATCTAACCTGAATAGGTTAGGCGTCCTTGTCATATGCTCTCATATTCCCTATTACAATTGTGATTATATATTAACTGTGAAATAGTCTATTTTGTGTCTGTGCTCTCCATTAGATTGTAATGTCTACGGCAGCAGAAATGATACAATTCTTAGGCACTCTGCTATTTTCAAAGTCTAGAATAATGCCTGATAATAAGAGATGTTTCATAAATGAATAAATAAATGAACATTTTATGAATGACCATCTTATAAACATTTCCGAGAAAGATATCATTCTAATGTTATTCACATTAGGAGCTTCATTCTCTTCTTATTGTGCCCTGGACAGCATCCTCTGGGTCACCTGATTCACATGAAATGTCCATATATGTTTATAAAGTAATTTCAACTTTCAGGAGAGCAAACCGAAACCACCAATCACTGTACAACAAAACTTCACTTGCTCCCAGACAAAATCAACTTAATCAACTTAAATGATTTGGTATAATATGGAAATTTAAACAGACTTGTTTTATTTAAAATTGTCTCATTTATGCATACCAACATAGATATTCCTGCATTAAGTTCTTTTGAAACGCAAATGTAAGCAAGAAAGCAGTCTCATAAGCTATGAAATTTCTACAAATGGAAACTCTTTAGTACATAATTATCACTAAAGTTAATATTGTCTCTTTCCCTAAAGGCCCCAGTAACCCTGTTGATATGTCCACACCCTGTTTCTATGTCCTTTCAGTCTCGAATCATTCTGCGGAGTTAGACAATTGGAGAACAAATTAGTATCAACGGCAGAAGAAATCTTTCTGATACAAAAATCTGACCTGAAATGACCCAAGCCTTGAATAGCTTTCTGTCAGGGGGCTAACAGTTCACCCTATATCTGCATCGAAGAGTCTAAGGTTCATACACTCTCATTCAGATTTCCTCCACTTTCTTGTCTTAACTAGAATGGGTTTAAGACTAAACTGGTTTCTCAGTTCCCTTAGCAACACAAGTAATTCTCATTAAAAGAAAGAGAAGGCGAAACCTAATGCTATTCTGCAACAGCTTACAAACCCATGGATACCTCTGCAGCGTTCTCATACCCACCTTTTCTCATTTATCACTTACTATCCAATCAGACAAAGAGCAGTATGGATACATGTTTTGCTTGGAGAATAGGTGTCAAACACACACCTAACTCATAGCAGAAAGAAATATATTTGTAGGACATCAAGTCTTTCTCAGTAGTGACTGACCTGCATACTTCTAAATTATCAGCCCCATCATCACAGGTGGCAGGAGGCTTCTGAACAGAGTTATTCACCTGGAGCCCTGTATCATCCGCATGCTTGCCAACTTCTGGAACTTCCAAAGGTTCGCTGCTGGAATCTCTCTCGCAAAATCTTTTATTGATTGTTTCATTTTGCCTAAAACTAGGCAAGAGCTGAGGGTCTCTCTGGTGGTATCTACCTTTGTTTTCCTCATGGATCCTTGAGTATCTCTTAGTCTCAAAGGATTCTCTAGGCAGGGAGAGACTGCATTCTTGGCACCTCCTGCCTTCTCTTCTCTGATTGAAAGAGCAACTCTCACATTGGATCTGCTCTTGTTGCTTTGTAGCTTTGGTTCCCAAATCAGCAAGTTCAATTCTATTAGGAGTGGAAGACCCATCCAAGTTTCCACAAGGCTTATTGTTATTTATCCTTCGTCTTCGTGACAGTCTGAACTTAACTTGGGCTCTTCTTTTAGCCTGAATCCAATGACTCTCATCTGTGGAAGATGAACCTGAAGAATCTGTATGAAGCTCACTCCATCTAGGGTTTGAGATCTGGAGGTGACAATCATTTCTCCTCCCTTTCATTTGTTCGTCTGCATGCTCATATCTCTCTGAGGCCCTTTTCCTCCTCCTAGGCCTCTGTTTTAATGGTTTTTTACCAGACTCCTTTCTAGCAGGGCTCAGCACAACGACAGGGGTATAATGCTCAAATGCATCTTCTGACATGTCATGCAAGATGGCAGATCTGGACAAAGCAGCAGGCAGAGGATGGGAAATGGGAATGGAGAAGAAAGCCATGGAAAAAGAGAGAGAGAGAAAGATGAAAATGACAGCATGGACCAAAGTTGGTAAATAAAGATCAACTGAAGAAAATGAAATAAAGGAAACAAAATAAGCCAGCATAAATTGTGCATGGACAATGTAAGGCAGAAGCAACAGACACATAGTCTCAGAATATAAACTAGGAATATAAAACACCGATCTAAAAGAAATACTGAACAAGATCATTTGCTCAGCACTTACCTGCAGATGTCCTGAGTAGATGGACAGACAGACAACCGTGACTGGCTCCTGGGAGCTGTTCCTGTCGTTGGGCTGCTTGCCTGGAGAAACAAGTTAGATAATTTGGCATCTTGGTTCAGGTAATACATAGTTGATATCTTACTTTTTTTCCACATATTTAAAAAATTACAACAAATGCGACTGCCAGTCATGTTGCTCATAACGCAGCTCACAGAATACAGGAAGTTAGAGTGTTTGGTTTGCAAAAGTAAAACTTATTTGAGGAACTTGGAACAGCTGAGAAGCTGTACCACTTTGCTGTTGCTTCATTTGTGAGAGAGGAAGACAATTCCTATTCTACTTACTGTAAACATTTGAGTGGAATGGTTCCATTTGCCTTGAAACAAATGAGTAGCACTTGAAGATCTTATGTCACAAGAATGATAATAATCTGGGAAGCCAGAATAATTGAATAGCCAGTGATACTGTCTGGAGTTAACATTAATTCAGGTCAAGATCATATGAGATAATATATTTGGAAATACTTTATAATATTTAAAAGCCTACAGTTATTGCTATTACTACTTGCCCTTGAAATAAATAAAATCTATCCATCACAGCACTATTGACCTTTCATATCTTTTAACCCTGTCACCATACTGAGTATAAGAAAAAACAAACAAAAAAACCCATTGCCATTGAGTCGATTCTGACTCATAGCGGCCCTGTAGGACAGAGTAGAACTGCCCCAGAGGGTTTCTGAGGCTGTGATTTTACTGAAGCAGACTAACACACATCTTTCTCCTGAGGAGCAGCTGGTGGGTTCGAACTGCTGTCTTTTCATTCAGCAGATGAGTGCTTCACCACTGTACCACTAGGGCTCCTTGAGTCTAAGAGAGTCTGAAATAATTCAGATCATTGGTACCGGGTTCAGCACATTTCACTAAATTCCTACCTTCAAAGAACATCATCTTCTTCACTCTATTTGACTTCTTTATCCTTTTATGTTTAATACAGATGAAGATGATAATAATAAATCAAAAAGCAGAATCTACTGAGGATTTACTGTGTGCCAAGCATTGTGCTGTGCCCTACTCTACCATGCCTTTAATCTTACAATTATCTTATAAGTGAGAAATAATAATAACTAACAATTTTGAGTGAATATTATGTGCCACTCACTCTTCTAAGCATTTTTAATATATTTATTCATTAATAGTCACAAGAAACTTATTTGGTAATTACTATGAATATTTTCATGTTACAGATGAGGAAACTGAGAAATAGAGGCTGTTTCTGACTAGTAGTAAGTGGTAGAACAGAGATTTGGACCAGGAATCTGGCTCTGATATCTGTTCTCTTATTCATCAGGAAGTACAGCTTCTCCTCCTTCACACAGGAGGAAACCAGGAGAGTCTTGGTTCCATATTCAGACCTATCTGATTGTACAGACGAAATACACCATATTGCCACCAAGAAAATAATAGTAATGGTAGAGAGACTGACCTCAAATTTCTAAATCGTTCTAAAAGTTTCCTTATTAGCGATATACAGAGACAATTGTAGGATACAGAGAAAGAGAAACTAAGTCTAACTCAAGAGGTCAGAAAAACTTTCAAGAGGAGGTGTGGTAGGCTGAATAATGGTCTTCTCAAAATGTCCATGGAATCCCTAGGTGGTACAAATGGTTAACTTGCTCAGCTGCTAACTGAAAGTTTGGAGGTTTGCGTCCACTCAGAGGTGCCTGTCAAAAAAAAGCCTGATGATCTACCTCTGAAATATCAGCCTTTGAAAACTATATGCACAGTTATACTCTGACACATACGGGGTGGCCATGAGTGATAGCCAACTTGACTGCAACTGGTTTAACTGGTAAAGATGTCTACATCTTAATCCCTGGACCCTGTGAATATATTACCTTACAGGGTAAAAGTGACTTGGCAAATGTGATTAAGTTAAGGATTTTGAAACAGGAGATTATCCTGGATTATCTAGGTGAGGGAAACACAAGTGGCTTTATAAGAGGAAGGTAGTAGAGTGAGGGTCAGAGGGAGAGAGAGAGAAGATGTAAAGTTGAGAGGAGAGGGTGTAAAGGAGAGAAGATGTTACACTGCTGGCTTTGAAGATGAAGGAAGTGGCCCTGAGTCAAGGGATGCAGGTGGCTTCTATAGACTGGAAAAGGCAAGGAAATGGATTCTCCCCTAGACCCTCCAGAAGGAATGCAGCCCTGCGGACACCTTGATTTTTAGCTTAGTGAACCTGTGTCAGATTTCTCACCTCCAGAACTGTAAGATAATAAATTCATGTTGTTTTAAGCCCCCGTATTTGTGGTAACTTGTTATAGCAGCCACAGGAAACTGATACAGGAGGTAACACTTTAGTTTAAGGCAAACAGTAGTTAGCAAAAAAGTGATTGAAATATTCCAGTGAGCTGAGAGGAAGTATGACACTCTCAATACGCTCTAATACACTTCCATACATCTGCACGGCTCTGAGTTACACTTTTCTGAGTATTATCCATGAACATTGCGTATTTTTTTCATCCTCAAACATCAGTCCATGCTCAGTTAATTCCTCGAACATCTGTATCAAAACTCACTTCCTTCAGCATTTTTTTTTTCCAGATTAATGTCATCTCGCTCTGCATCTTTGGAATATAGCTAATTTTTATAAAACGTAAGCATTTCTGTGCTCAATTAGTAAGCACTAACTTCCATTACACTGTGCACTTCTACTCTGAGTGCATCTACAGTGGTCAGTAAGGAGCTCTGAATATGATAGGCACTGAGTAAAGGTCATCTGTGAAGTTCGTTACTAACTCTCTTGTTTAAAAAAGCAATGCAGCTCATAAGTGGAATCATTATTATTGATGTGATGCTAACAATAAGTGGATATTACTCAATAAAATTCTAGCGAACAGAATTCAGCATCATATCAAAAAAATAATACACCATGACCAAGTGGGATTCATACCAGGTATGCAAGGATGGTTCAACATTAGAAAATCAGTCAACGTAATCCACCACATAAACAAAATAAAAGAATCACATGATCATCTCAATAGA